ATATAAGAGTTATATATAAGTAAATCATAATTAATATTTTTTATGAGCATAGTTTTTAATTTGTGTTTTCCACCAGGGCATGTGGTATTACCTCCTGCTCTGGAACTTAGGGACTGAACACATATAGAATTGGTTGTTCAAGTCCAATGCTTTTGAGGCATGCAGTCTTTCCAAACATTATTTTTTATTTTTTATTTTTGGAACAAAGTCTTTCCTATCAAATTTTCAGTAGCGATTAGGCACAATTAAGCTCGCTTAGACACACTTAAACCACTCTAGGCACAACACGAATGCCTAAACACGCTGCCTAGATGCCTTGGTGAGGTAGTGGACTACCATTTTTACAACACTAATCTTATGGTTAATATTGTACCTAATAACTATTAATTATGTAATTTAATAGTAGAGTTACTTATACTCTTAATTATAAATTTAAAACTCAATACTTAATTTTTATGTACCCAAAAAGTATTATACTTAATTTAACACATGATATTCAAGTTTTTTAAGATGAGTTGTATATTGAAAATGTTGTATACCTTATAAATTTACTTAAATATTTTTAATAAAATAATATAAGAATTAATTTTATTAAAAGTATTTAAATAAATTTATAAGATAAATTATATTTTTAATATATAATTTATCTTTACAAATAATTTTTTTATTTAATACATTTTTATATTGGACTCAAACCAAAGTTCAAGCTCAAGGAAGTAGATACTCCTTTATTAATGTCCTTGACTTTAAAAGGGGATTATATAGTCCTTTTCTGAAACTTTCTCATGACACCATTAATTTGAAGATATAAAATGAATAGAAAACTCATCAATCCTGAAAAGGATAAAAATCATGGAATGTCTAGTCCACAAAAAATAATTCTACTATGATCAAAGAGAGTACACAATATTCCCTTTTAAAATAAGGCACAAAAACTACACTAAACAAAAGGAATAATTAACCACAAAGCAACAAAGAAAATGAGAACGCAAAGAGAGAAATATCACTAAATGAAATTAAAAGAAACGATATTCCAAGTGAAAATTTGATTTTTCATAATGTAGATTGATGTCTTATGAACACTCAAGTCAAATTTCAGCTCAATTAACAATGAACTTTCACAAATAAATAAAAATAATATTGCTATCTGTCACATCATCATTTCTCATTAGATTTAGTAGTTAATTGAGGTAAATTACTATTTAAACTTTATAATTTGATTAATAAAAAAATCTTCCCCTTCTCCCATTCCCCCTCCTCTCCATTTCTCCCAACTCAAACATATTATAAGGTTAGGAACTACTAGTGGCACAATGAAGGCAATGGTGAAAACTGTCTCTTACAAACATATAAGCTAAATCATGTCCAAATAAGATATGGCAATAACTAAATATACAAAATAACAAAGATGGCCAAGGCAAAAACAATTAGAACATAAGATACAAGATTTTTATGTGGAAACCTCCTAAAAAGGATAAAAA